CACCATAATATCTGAATACCTTACAAACAATCCTTGCAGCACCCCACCAGTTGGGGATAATATTATCTCCATTTTACAGATAGGGAACCACGGCACAGAGAGATTAAGTGACTTGTCTAAAGTCACACAGGAAATCTGTGGCAGAGCCAGAAATGAACCTAGATATACTGAATCCTAGTCCATAGCCTTAAATAAAAGACCATCCTTCTCTTAAGCTTCAAGATTAACATCTCTTTTTGTTTTTTGGGTAATATAATTGTGGATGTTCTCATTATCCATATAAATGTATGCCCTGGTTTTGAATCATGCTGAACGTTTGGCCCTGATGATATCTTGTAGCAGAGAGTTCTACTGGTAAATTATTCATTCATTTATATAATATATATAGAGAGAGTATTTCCTTTTGAATAATTCTTAATATTGCTGCTTTTCATTTTTATTGACAGCCCCCTTGTTCACCTACCTCAGAAAATAGAGGTGAAGGATCCCTTTACTTTTCTGACTCATCAGGTTAACCTGAAGGTGTCAAATGAAACACAACATAGACAAAATCTCGTATATTTGTAGCAATTGGGGAAGTGAAAGCCTTTTGGATCCCCTTCCACAAGCAAAGGGGAAAAAATAGAAACCCAGGTAATCAATTTAAAATTAAGACAGTTTCTACTTCAGGAACTTCAATAATTGTAATGATACATCTATTGCCTAAAGGAATATAACAACAGCAGCTATGCTAGAGATAAACCAAACAAATAAAATGCTATTAAACGTCCCAGCCAAGAAACTTGTGGCCATGCAACCATGAGGCCCTGCAACATTCCATTCCACATACAAACTCCTCTTGTAATAATCATTTAAGTATCAGAGGCCTTGAATAAATATTTGTTAAGATACTATCTTTTAAGGATTTATTGCCTGTTTTACCCTTGACGAGGGAACAGGAGATTTTCCTAAGGAAGTGTCAGATGAGTTGGTGGCCTGTATCGAGTGTGTGGCACATCTTGTACAGCCAAGAGTATTTCTTTTAGTCATTTTTCACAGCTCCAGTAGCCTCCTTGCCACAGTGTCACATGTTATGACTCTTCAGGTGTAGTATCAGGAAGCACATTTTGAAACAGGTTGGGTTTTCTGCTATTTTGTAGGTGAGAGTTTTATAAAACAGATCTAAACACGTACGTCATTGCTTTAGCAGGTGCTAAGGATTAAACTCATCACCCACACGTAGCAGGCATATACTGTAGGCAGCGGTGAAAAGTTGAAAGGTACAATCCAAGCACCGTGGGCCTGATTGTTCAGTCAGACACCCCATAGTGTCCCTCCCAGGGAGACGTACAGATGAAATTGAATAGCTTTTGAGTGGAAATTACAACTACTAGCACAGGTCCCCATAATACCCAGCTGTTCTGTGCAAAGAGATTCCCCACCACACACATCTCACATCTCTGTACAGTACCAAGCACAACTGGAGCACAGGAACTTCTCCCTCCATGTGATTCCCTGGAGTGGAAGATCATGCAAGGGGAGCAGGATGAGGTGGAGAGACATGAAGCTATAATTACCCAGCTCTAGACAACAGCTGGGGAATCCTAAACACTTCCTACATATTTAAGCATGTGATTATTAGTCGAAAAATATTAGGAAAGTTTGTTATTCATCATTTGTTACCCTTCTGCTTTTAAAAACTTTCATCCAGTTAGAGAGCAGAAAATAACACCATGCAACTTAGGTGACCAATCACACATCAAATAATATGCTTACTCAATATCTAGTATTCTAGGCAAGCAGATGGATAGTATCCAATAAAGTGAAAATCATTCAGTGAAATTATTTGGTACATACTTCAAGAACAACCAAGGAAATCAGGGTCTGTTTGGGAATGATTGGATACACCAAAATGGGCTAAATCAACAATAAACAGTTCAAAATGCTGTAGGTTCAGTTATGCAATTAGTACAATTCTATTTCCAGCATGGAGGGGATATTTGTCGTCTTCTTAGTTCCTTGTTTTTATTCCTTAACAATGAGGATAATATATCAGCTTCTTCCTCTTTTAAAGAAGCAGAAAACAGAGAAGCTGAGCCAAGACCAACTCCTTGCTCCGATTAGAGCAGTGTTACATCTAGTGCTTTTTAACAGAGTCTTGTTTGTTTTGCCATGGTGACTTAAGATGTGCGTGGAACAGAGCTTTATAGTTAACCAGTGCTACTTTTTAAATTTTTCAGTAGGGGAGGTGTTTTGAAGTTATGGTCATCTCAGAATTGAAGCCTGATGCACATGGCCGCTGACTCATATGGCCTGCTTTTCTAAGGAGTTAGGCAGGCATTCATTTACAAGCTTACATGATCAATTGGGTAACACATTTTCATGTGCAATTACCAAATGTCCATATGCAAACAAAGATTTGGGGCTGGAGCTGGATTTAAAAAAAAAAAAAAAGCCCCAGTGTTAAGTGTCCTTTGAAATTAAATGGCTGTTGGGTGCCTAACTCCTTTAGATACTTTAGAATATCTGAAACTAGATCCTAGTTGTATTGCTAATCTGCATGGTGTGCTGGATGCCTTCTATTCAGTCTACATGGGGAAGCAATTAAATCCCTCTTTGTTCAGTGAGTGACAGTGGAAACAGGGAGTTTGATTGGACTGCAGTACTGAATATGTCCTGGGTGTCAGAAAAGAAGCAGAAAGCTAGCACAAAAGCCAGGAGACAGCCAGAAAAGCACTTTTAGGATGGCCTTAGGAAGAAGCAGAGAGAGAGAGAGAGAGAGCGCACTTTGGTGCAGAGAGCTCACTGGAAAGAGGCTTGGAAGTGCAAGCTTGCTGTGTTCAGGGAAACAGGACTTTGTGTACATTCTTTGTACATAAACAAGACTGCACTTGAGAAATTCCTGACTCCATCATCAATTTCTCCTCCTAATGGAAACAACCCGCAAAGCCCCAAACATTGATTAACCACTCAGACCTAAGGGACAACAGTATGACAACTTGTTCTCTTTACTGTCCTTCATCTCCACTCCTCTCCATTTGTTTGTCTCAGCCACATGTTTCATCATGTCACAACCAAAATGGTGAGTTCTTTGGGGGCTAGGACAGTTTTTTTTTAATTGCATGTCTGCACAGCTCCTAGCACAATGGGGCTCTGATCCTGTATTGGTACTTATAGCTGCTACTATAAACAATTCTTCCCAATCTTCAGATCTACCATTCAGGAAGCTGGGGATCTCAGAAGTATAAGGATGCACAAACCAGCCTCTTTCTTCCAGGAATACCCAGTGCACAGAGGTCTAGGACCAGGAGATTGTGCAGAGTTGCTCTTTCAGCACTATGCCCCCTGGATATCCCTTATAAATCCTCAGGGAATTGGTTAAATCAGCTTTCTAGCTGCTTTCAGCAACTGGAGCAGACCCAAGAATCCACGTGTGCTGAAAAACATTTGTGAATTCACTCGTGGCAATGGTATTTTCAAATTAAACATGCAGTGGTCCAGCCAAATGCATACCTAACTTGTTAAAAGAATGTAGGGTGATCCAGATAATGGCTCGGATTCCAAAAACTGTGCATCCACCTAATTTCGGCATACAGTTTCCACAATTATGCACGCACATATTTGAAAGCATGCCATTCTGACAGGCTGAGCCATTATATGGTGTCAGATAAAAGCTAAGTTTTATACAGCTATGACTCCATATGAGGTAACTACCTAACCAATAAAACAGCATCTGAACCACCTTGCCAAAACAAATAAAATGCTATTAAAAGTCCCAGACGTGATAGTGTTTTAATCAGAGCAGCAGGTTAGTTCTATACTAGGACTGTTTTCTTTTCTGCTTCTTTAGGATCATTTGAAGAAGTGACCTCAACTGCAGTGAATGAGTGTACAATTGCCGGTTAGATTACTACCAGGGCCGGCTCTAGGCACCAGCAAAACAAGCTGGTGCTTGGGGCGGCACATTTTTAGGGGCGGCATGGCTGACGCCAGAATGCCGCCCCTAAAAATGTGCCCCCGCCGCCCTAGCTCACCTCCGCTGCCGCTCGCGCGCTGCTACTCGCCCTCCCTCCCAGGCTTGAGAGGGGGAGGGAAGGAGGGAGGGGGAGAAGCGGCGCTGCTCCCCCTCCCTCCCAGGCCTGAGAGCCTGGGGAGAGGAGGCAGGGCTGGGGATTTGGGGACGGGGCGGAGTTGAGGCGGGGCCGGGGGTGGGGGTAATTAAAAAACGGGGGGGGGGCGGCCAAAATTGTTTTTGCTTTGGGCGGCAAAAATCCTAGAGCCGGCCCTGATTACTACACTGTCATTTGCATGTGCATTCACCATGATAGTGGTTCGTGTCCATGGAAATAATAAGATACATGTCACTTATTACCTTCATCACTTCCTTGTATGTTGTTCCCATTTCTACCCCACTTTGTCAGGAGTTGAGGGTTATATTTTGATTTTGTCTTTTTAGACTGGTGAAGTAAGGGGCTGTATCTAGGTAGCTAACCCCACTTGGGCTGACAGTGGGGTCAGACCTAAGCATAACCCTCTATCTCTGACCTAAAGAACTAGCTGCCTGATTCAAAGCCCACTGAAATTAGTTAAGACTCCCATTGACTTCAATGGGCTTTGGATCAGGCTCTATCTCTGCTACTTAGGAGCTGTTAGCTCTAGCAGACCCATAAACGTTTGTGGAGCAGCCACTAGAGGGAGATATGTAACACAAAATAAACATGGGTGACACTTACAGCACCTAGCACATTTTGGGCTCTACAGAAATATAAATAATGATATCTTATGTGCAGTAATAGTAATTTCACATGCAAAGTAGGCACACAAATGTTTTCATAGTATTACAAGAGCATTTACGTGCCTCTGGTCAGTTATAAAGATTGTCTCCATTATTTACATATGTAGCTTTCATTGCTGTACACAAACAGAATTGTAAACTCATTATGAGAATTGTTTAAAAAGTTACCAGCCACAAGTTTTGAACAAGGCTCCCTCAGATCCTTTTGTTCAAAGACTCTGCTTACCAGTTTAAAAAACTTCCTCAGGTTTGTTTTGGGGTTTTTATTTTCTTCTCTTCTAAGTTTTACTTCTGCAGTTTCTGGGCTTTTAGTCTCATCTTTGTCAGGAGCCACTGCTTCTAAAGATGCCTCCACTTTCGCATTGATTACAACCTCTGTGTCTTCTGGTGCAGTCTAGGGTTATTTTTGACAAATATTAAGAAGGCAGAAAATCATTCATCTGTCATACTCTTTAAATCAGTACTTTTTTTTAATGCTGTTATAATGTAACAATGATGTCCTGAGTTAGAAATGCAGGAATTCTATACAGAAAGAATGAACATCAGGTACAATTATTCTAGGAATTGCATTACATCCTTTAGGGCTAGGGTGACCAGATGTCCTGATTTTGGGGGCTTTTTCTTATATAGGCACCTATTATCCCCTCCCCCCATCCCTTCCCGATTTTTTACACTTGCTATCTGGTCACCCTATTTAGGGCTCCCAGTCAGGAAAGCACTGAAGCATGTGCTTAAGTCCATACCTATTCAAGAAAATGTTTAAATCAGTGGGATTTAAGCGCAAGCTTTGTTAGACTTGTGTTTGAGAACTTTCCTGCAAAAAAAGTGCTTTCTTAAATTGGGGCCTTAGTTCCCAAGTACAATATTCACCTTTACTCACAATTTAAAACAAAAATTCAATCAACAAAGAATGTGAACACTTACAGTGGTATAAATCAGGAGTAATTTCACTAAAGTCAGTTATACCTTTATAAAATGGGCATGAGTGAGAGGAGGATCAGGCCCAGGGGGTTTGTAAACAGAAATGGGAATAAGATTAAATAACTTGTGAAAACAATAGTGGGTCTGATTCTTCACTGGCTTTCACCTGGATTAGTCACTCACACCAGTACAAAGGAAATGTGGGGTGGATGAAAGACATCAGACTCAGAACTCTCAACTCAGTCATATCAGTAGTGCTGTCACACACACACACACACTTTGCATAGGTGTAAATAACTACATGAGATGCAAGGTAAAGGAGAATTAGATCCATTGTCTTACCAAGATCCTGATCCTATGGGGTCTAGAACACCTCCTGAGTGTGCTCAACTTCCACTGGAATTCATGAAAGTTAACACGTGCTCAGCAATTTGCAAGAGGTACTCTGCATTTAGCAGGATTGGGGTCCAAACGAGCTCTAAAGTATTAATGAAAAATGGTGTCTATTCACTTGAATGCCTCATTCCACAGTCTACTCAGGGCCACACCTCTGAGAGCTTATCGTGTTCAAGTGAGCAATGCAAACTGCACAATACAGAGAACACAACCAGGAGGAACATAGGTGCCTCATCGATGTATGGATGCTTCAGATCCCACCTGGACATGGGGCTAAATGTGCATTTCCTTGGCTGACTGTTCTCTCTTATATAACTGCCCAGGTACATAGGTGCTGGAACTAGGGGTGCTCCTGCACCCCCTGGCTTGAAGTGGTTTCCATCATATCCAGGGTTTACAGTTTGGTTCAATGGCTCTCAGCACCCCCACTATAAAAAATTGTTACAATACCCCTGCCCAGGTAGACAATAAAAAAGACTTTCTCCTGTGCACTAAAGAAATGTTAATTAATTTGGAACTCACAGTCACCATATAGAGAACCATCTTCCTTTCTGTCTTATAGACCAAGCTATTAGCATGGAAATAACCCAAATAATTTGACCTGAACCCAGCCTTTGCAGCATTTTACAGCCAATTGCAGAATGATGCATAACATCATAAACGCATCTTATTTTGCATTCAGCACCTTAAACACCGAACTAAAATGAAAGTAGTTACACTAGACATTGACATTTAGACATGACCTGCTGTTTACATTGCCAACAAAGTGAATATAATTTAAAATATTGTACAAACCAACTGCTGTAAATGTGTCACATCAATTTATAGACATGCATGCAATATTTATGTACACCGTATAGAGTTACTTTTAATGTGTGTGCCTATATGATGACCTCCTCTTGGCTTACACACTGGGGATTGAATTGGAGACCTAAAAAGCATGAGCTGCTACAGTTTGAACTAAAGAACCACAACTCTATTGCTATAGGCTGTAACACCTGCTATCCTTTGTGTCCTGGGCACAGAGGGAAGCTGTAACATGCACACGCAGGTGCCCATGGTATAAAGCACATCATTTGAATTTTTGAAAATGGGATTGGTGAAGTGCATGAATAATCTGCAGTAAATAATCCTGATTGTCTGGATATAATGCAACCTTTTGTGAGTGATATGCATGGAGACTGGTGGGGGGAAGGTTGCAGGGGAAGATATCTATTTCACCCCCCCCCATTTCAAAGGCTCTACAGCACAGCCCCCCCTTCCCCATGACTGTTACTTCAGCTGATGAATGACAAGTGGCTGTAGGCTCTCTGCTCCGCGCATGTGAAGGGCCCACAGGATCTCTATAATCGTTTATCCCCATTGCCGACACTGCCCTTTCTTATTATTTTGCTATGATCATTTGGACCCATTAAGGGCTCAACTGCAGCTTTGCTACAAGCCCCCAAGAGCATAGTCACGCTGCCTCAGGACCAGGCACAGTCACAGTCTGGTTACTGGTTCTCCCCAAGCTCCAGGAGAAAGGTAATTTGAGCCAGCCCTGTACCTGCAGATAACTTCCCTTGCTCCACTATTCCAGAAAGCACACTCAAGGGGCAGAACCAAGGCCCTTCTAATCCTGCATGCTGCCATTGGTAATGTGTGTATTGACCTCCTTACTCCCCTGCTCAGCACATAGCCGTGGTCAAAACTGTGCCCTACGTAGCTATTGGCCCAATTTTGGTATCCTGATTCACACTGCATAGCACCTTCCCACACAAGTAATCCCATTGACAGCACCCTCCAATGTAACAGCACCCTCCAATGTAAGTATGACAGGTATATGAGGTCAGAGAAATTAGCCTCAGATTTCCTAGCATGCATTGAAACAGATTGTGATATATTGCTAAACACGGGTTTGTCTGATCTATTCTTTTCCTGGGTATTTTTCTCTTTTTTCATTGGGATGAACGGTATTTTGACAGGAATCAAGATGAGATGTTCAGAATCGTAACTTTTTCCAGCTTTACATTTAATTGCAATGTTCCTCTTAAAGAAATTACTGTGTAAATCTAAAATAGGTTTAAAATTACTCTATGAACAGAATTTAAATGTATGAAAGTTAATGAAACAGTTAATCATTAGTAATAATTTTAATCTGTATTTCTATTTGATCTGCCTTATGAATACACATAATCAATTCACCATTTCTTTGCTAGAAGGAAATGGTTCATTGCATGAGCTGGAAGAGTGGCTTCTAGGAGCTCATCTTTCAAAGATTAGCATTTGGGATCCTATTACGGCTACTGCTGTTACAGCTGCAGCCCGAATGAGTTTTCTCTCAAGCGCTTTCTGTGCAGGGGGTTTAGTTTCTCTAGTGATAACAATTGCATCCTGGGAGGAAATGCCAAATACTGGAGGGAAGGAAGGAAGAAAGAAGTGCTGTCTGTTAGAAAATATTAAGAGATAATCAGCCATTCAGGGGGATTAATTTGATGAATATTCCATGCCTCACAACACTATACTTACAGTAGTGAGGTACTTTTATTCATTGGTCACTAGACTGTACAATTTAAGAGTAGGAAATTTAGAGTCAGAAACCTTTAGGAAAGTTAAATAAAACTTGCAATTTAAAAATAATATCAAGCCTACTTTATAAATGCAATTACAGAGCCAGATTTTTTTTTAAATAGACATGTACAAAATGCACATCTAATTTGCAGTGATGACAACTGCATATGAAATCTCTCATTTTACCTGGGCAATGTTGCTAACACACATTTTAATTAGGCATCCCACAGTTTTCCTGAAGAAATTATAAGGTGCCTTGTCTGCAGTTCTTAGTCTGCTATTAGGAATGACATTTTTATAATAATTTGGTTATAATTATTATGAGGAAGGAATCCTGTACAATTGCATATGTGTGTGCACATACACTAGAGCCCCCTTTATAGTTTTCAGAGCTTTTGAAGTATTTCCATTAACTTGACCTGGAATACTTTCTTTGAGGTGAAGCTTTATGTACAGTTATCACATCAGGGTTTCTTTATACTTACAAATATACATCAAATCTAATTGTTTTTAAATGCTAGCTATGTGCTGGCTTTGGAACTCAGGCCAGAACTGTGAATTATTTTTTAAATGTAGATGTTATTATATAATGACCCCTTACTACCGCATTCATACTTTGCATTACATACATGTTGATCCACTACTCTCAGTCAGAACTTTATGTGCACTTTAGAGGTTGTACATTTGTGTGCCTAATTTGCACTACCCAGTACTGCAATTGTCAGAGCTTCTGTGCTAATTGATCATCATGGGTGAAATTTGTACCCTCCTGAAATCAATGAGAGTGTTCCCATTGCCCTCAACCGGGTCAGGATTTCACCCCCTGCATCTAACCAGTCACTGATAGATGAAATCCCTATAGCCATTTTGAGTGCTGTTACTAGATGTGTGTGTACATATTAGATGTACACTTGCATGTGTTTTTGTCATAGTATACCTATTTTCTAAAACCCCTCAGCCTGAGTCACAGGGTTTGTGTACGTTAGAGATTCATATCGGCATAGCTATGCCAGCATACCTCTGTAGTGTAGATGCAGAAGAGGTTTTTCTGTTGGTGTAGGAACATCACCTCCCTGACAGAAGCTCTCTTCCATCAACATAACTGTGCCTATGCTGTGGGTTATGGCTGCATAGCCTCACTGGTCAGGGGTGTGGTTTTTTCACATCCTGACTGACATAGCTATGCTGATATAACTTTCAAGTCTAGACCAAACTACACTCTCCCTCTCTATTTCCTATAGCATTGAATACTGTAGATACGCCGCTACGGCTTCTGAAGTACAGGCCTGGCCTGTTGTTTCAGCATGATGAATGAGACAGGAAAATGACTGCCTTCATCCTGTCACGACCTATTTTGTGTGTTATACTTACAAAAATGCAGTTGAAAGTTACTTATTTTCCCTCAGCCCTGTCAGGTCCAGACCTTTCATATTCTTGTGGCTCCTATTATGCTTTACATGCTATAATGATGATTTAACTTTCAGATCTTATTTTAAAATACTTCACTCCAGAAAATGAAATTCCTTC